GCACTTGTTACTAGTAGCGATGCACTTGTTCCTAGTAGCTTCTTGTTCCTTCACAAAACAGCAGCCATCTTCACATGTGGGCTGATACACTTGACATGCCTCTTCGCCTTCCCATCTGCAACACACATCTCCCAACGGTGGCGACAATGCCTCTCCCGCCTCCAGATTGCACCAGACTTACCGCCACGAAGATTTTTTGCCAACCCAATGCAGTCTATCTCAAACTCCAATTCAACCAACATCCCACCAGACACCAATACCACCAATTTGGCCATACCTACATTGGCTCCACAAGCATCGGCATCGCCAAGCGAGAATTCAACAGGCACGCTAAGCTTAAACAATTGGCCAACAACATCCCATCCCATTTCCGCAGAACTGTCATTGGGATATTGGCACTCTACCAATACTCTCCACCACTACAGCGCCCTCTACCTTTCCCATCACATCAATTATGACGTCGCATGGATCCACGAACACCTTCACATACAAGATTGGCAGCGTACACTCAACTGGCCTTACATTCAAAACCACCTGCTCCTCAAAGCCGATGGCTGGCAATTTACCAAACACCGTACCCGCTTTGCCAGACTGGCCACCCACAAAAGACTCTTTCAAAGGCTACGCAGACACCATCGCACTACTCACCAACCCATCCTTCACACAACACATTGAGAACACGCACTTACCATTACCCGAGAATTGAGCAAGCGCAGCAAGGCCTCCTTCGAAGCAGCCAAGGCCATCCGCAGCGGTCGCTATACAGATATAGAAGTGTATGCGATGCGAAGAATGGCAGCAAGCCTTGAAGAACCAGACAGATCACGCGTCCTTAATTTACTTAACTCCTCCCTAACTTTCCGCAATCTCCTTATTCCCAAAGCGAATCGACACCCAACTATTCCTTTTCTCGCACATCACAGTTTGCACAACACTGAAAAATGGTTCACCTCCCTCACCACACATTTTGATCACGTTATACCGTTCCACCCGCCCACTTGTCATGTCATGTGAATCTCTGGCGACGTGGTTGGTGTGGATGTCGCAAAAGCGTTTGAATTGCAGGAGGCGCACGGACAGAAAGCAGCAAAAGGGCCACAGCTCCACCCCCAAAAACCACTGAGTCCTAAAGTTGACCGACTAAATGTTTCTTTCATCCAGGTGCTTTCTAAGAGCCGGGCTTGCGGAGAGACCAGTGACAAGCAACAGGCACCATGGTTTTTGCCTTGGTCTAAAAGTAAGCCTTTTAGACCCCTCAGCTTTCAAGCATTTGCATGCCGTCGGTGCACCTTTTCTCCGTTAGATGAGTATGAACTGAGCACTTCCAGGTATCTTCGTTCAGATCGATGGCACACAGTGACCATCACATCCGATTGCCAAGATCGAACAGTGCCCCAAGTATGAAGGGACACCAGTATCAATACTCAGCCAACATTCAGTGAACGTGGGAGGTGCTTGTTTTCTTGGATGGGATGCAAGCTACTGAAAAGGAGATCAACATTGGCATGGGCCTTGGGTTTGTAAAACAAACTGCAATCTGACTGTGAAGAGTGCTATTGCCACTTGCTCACAAATTGGGCCTTGCCCCTGGTTGGTTCAGAAGGAACGACCTCAGCCGGCCTTGGTGCTGACGACGCTGGTAGAAGAGTCCAAGGCCACTAGTTCGTTGAGTGCTTGCCCTTGCATCATAGTTTGAGAACTGATGACATGAGTTTTTGAGTGTTTGCCTATGTTTCCCTCCTCAATTCACTTGCCATTGCAACTGCAAAGATGCTGCTCAAGTTGAATCATTGAGCCTTTTAGCGCAATGTCGTCCTACAGCACCGACACCCCCAGGACTGCAACAAACTACCAGAAGATATAAAAACACATCATGATGAAGAAATAGTTCGTCAAGAGAGTGGATGGGGGGAAACGTGTGACATGTGAGGAGAGTGGAAGCGACAGCAATGGAGGGCTCTTCCATAGCTTTGATCGCGTCCGCCTTATCACTTTGAAGGAGCGCACTCCATTGATGAGAGATGCTCTTTGCTTGGCCAAGGTGCCCACTCTTCTGAAGAACATGCCCCTTGGAAGTGAAATCAGCTAAGCCTTGTCGTGTGTCACTCCTTGGCACTGCATAGCCAATGCGTGGCCACTTTTCGCTTAGAAACTATACAGTATCAAAACAGCTTCAAGGTTCAAATCAAACTAGCTACCCTTGTGCCTCTTCGATCTTGTCTTTCTTCTCCCCAAGGATCGGGGCCGGGATATTTAGTCTTCCAGTGGGACTACGGTATGCTACTCCGATTCCGGGACTGATTGTTTTGGGCACCATTGGTCTTCTCAGCGCTAGCTCCTATTGGATGATCGGCTATTGCTGCATCGCTTGTGGTGTTAAGTCATTCCGTGACCTGTGGAACGTTGTGCTTGGCCAAAGATCAGCTTGGATTATCGATGTGACAATCTTTTTGAATGGCTGGATTACTTTGATTTGCTACATCATTTTGATTGGAGACTTCACAACCAAATCTTTTGAAGGTTTGCTGGGCCCGGATCACATCCTGGCCAAGAAGCGTGCTCTATGCCAGACAGTGATTTCAGCATTTGTTTTGCTGCCACTATCCCTGGCAAAAGATCTTCAGCGTTTGGCCTACACATCGATCCTTGGTCTTATAGTGTTGGTCTATGTGCTGTTTGTAGTCATCCAAGACTCCATCTTGAACAGCCCTCCCGAAATCAGTGAAGAAGTGCACCTTTGTGAATGGAATTTTGGTATTTTTGAAGCTATTGCGCTCTACTGTCATGCTTTTGTGGCACACTACAATGCACCGAAGATCTTTTCAGAGCTCGCAAACCCGACCCTTATCCGCTGGACACAGTTGGTGGGAATTGCCTATTCTGTTGCCTTTGTGGTGTATGCAGAGTTTGCCTGGGCTGGATTTCGTCGCTTCCAACTGTCGGTGGAAGGCAATGTTCTGAAGAACTATGGCCCACAGCTTAACATTCTCATCGCATGGCTGGGAATGGGCTTTTCAATTGCATTTACATATCCGCTTGTCTTCAACTCAGCTCGTGAGGCTGCCATCAACTTGACTCTCATTGCGAGGCAAACGCTGTCGTCCATTGACTCGCCCAGGTTTCGGCAGCTGCAAGATGGCTACTATGGGAGTTCATGGCAGCACCGCTCAGAACAGCTGATACGGCTACTAGGTCCCAGTCCGGATTCCCCCAACCACAAGCTCTCTCAGAAGCCTGGGACAAAAACTACGTTCCTTCTCGTCCTCCTCACCTATGTAGTTGCGGTGAGATGCGATGATGTGGGAATAGCAAATGCTCTTGCTGGATCAGTAATGGGCTGCAGCCTAGTTTGAGTTTACTTCCTTTTGTTTGCAACCTCGTTTGTTCCACAGAGCAGTTGCTTCACTTCCTTTCCGCCCGTGAATCGCAGCACAGGTATGGTTTGCCTGGTCCTTCCTGGCCTTTTGTTCTTCAATGTGGCACGGATGCAGCAGAGAGCTCAGCAAGCCCGAGGTTTGCAGAAGCCGCTCTTGACAAAAGGACTGCAAACGCCAATTCTAAGGGTAGGTTTCAAAGACTTGATATTGACAGATACTGTGTTAGCCTGGCCCAAATAATATTGAACTACATTGTCGCTGTGTTAAGGCAACCTTTCGAAATTGCGTGGTATCATGGTGTTCTTTCTCTCAAGCACACCCGCTCTCATTAGGTTTCCAAGAGCCACCTCGGGAAGGGTTCCAGGTAGTGTTCTGGGGGAAGTTCTGGGAGATTTTCAGTCACATGCAGGGCGTGTTGGGTAGCCTGATGTTGCATGATTGGCCTTTCGTCCTATAATTCCACAACAGGACCGAATTAGTCAAACACTACAAAAGTACACAACCACATCGTGTAGTGCACCACCATTCATTCCATCCTGATTTTGCCATTCCAGTCGATGGTGCAAACGCCGTTAATTTTCTGATTTGCCGGTGGTCTTGGTTAAATGGAAATTCAGTCGCGGCCTCCGCGATGCATACAATTCTCATAAAAATCATAAAATCTTATATAATGAAGTTCAAATTCCACATGAGTAAAAGAAGTGGCCTCCCCGTAAGACCGATGGCCTCCAACCTACTAGCGATGGCCTCCAACCAAATAGCGATGGCCTCCAACCTACTAGGGACGGCCTCCAGCCTACTGGCGATGGCCTCCAACCCAATAGGAAGATGTTTGCCACTCGCCAAGATGCCAATTTCATTGCTGTTGCGTCGAGTGTGACTCTTGAGTGTTTGTTTTTCGGTTCTTTGGGCAGGTCATCGCAGTGGGCCCGCAGAAACCCATCTATGTCTCAACATGTAAATTTTGCTTCTTCGTCATTCCTCCACCATCCATTGACTCATGATGATTTGTGGTTGGACCAAATCCACGAGAAAGAAGAGCAGCGTTATGCCCAACACTTGCTTAAAGTGCATTATCACTTATCACCTTCACTACCGCAGCAATAGACAAGGGCCCGTCCTTTAAATGTCTTTGCTGCCCGCAGGATTTTTGCTAGTCAGAGTCAGATGTTTTTCAACTCGATAACAGGTATGTTTTAGCTGGGTGCTTGCTCTCTTATGCATTTATGGTTCACATTTCAAATATGGACTAGTGGATCACAACTCATCTCAATAGCGTCACGAAGGATGTCTTTCGCATCGCGAGCGAGGATCCTCAGGTGCAGCTTTGCCGATGAGGCCAATTCTAGCTCAGTTTGCTGGGATCGTGATCTTCATCTCCGGGACGATTTTCACCATCGTCGGCACAGTTCCTTGGAGAAGCCGCAAACAGTTTATGCGAGCTTTTTGGTTCGGGTCCCCTTGATGTCCTTGCAGCCCCGTTCTTAACTGTTTAAAGGTATTTGGCTTATATAGAGCATTCAGCATTAGCTTTGGATGATGTGAATCGCCGTGATGCAGTGTTACATGCTTCCAATACTTCATGCAAAGGAAGTTTTGAGGAGAAAGTTCCGAGTTACAAATTACAAAAAACTGCGTGCGCATGGTCGTGTCAGCGGGCAAAGCGGTAGTCTGGTAAGGCAACGGTTGTGGGGATTACTTTTGCTTCGTTTCGTTCGGGACTGTCAGGGCTGCGCGAAGGTGTTTGGGAGGTGGTTTGCCGTGCCCTGACTGGTCGGTTTTAAATCAGATGACTCAGAACGCACTCCAGGAGCTGCAGAAGGTTGGCGGGTTGTTATTTGGTTGCGCGGGACACTTTGTCTACAGCTGCTTCCTTGTCTCCACTTGTCTGATTACGCGTCCCCCACTTGTCGGCTTCTGTGATCGACACTTTGTCTGCCCATGCTGCCTTGTGTCCCCAGTTGTTTGCCTCTGTCTGCCGCTGCTGCCTTATCTCCCCACTTGTCCCTCACATGTCTCCCCACTTGTCTTCCTCTGTGATAGGTGCTTTGTCTGAAGCGTCCGGTCCAAGCTGAGCTCTATGCCATGCTGCCCTCCATGACATGGCTGTGGTGCTTGCCTGGCTGTGCGCGCTGGTGGGCACCTGGATCTTCATGCTGGCTTTGGAGATCTATTTGGGAGCGAAGGTAGAGTGATGACAATGCATCACGGGGCATGTTTTCGCTAGGCCTTACTTGTTCTATCCTTGAAGCACATCGTACTGGGCATGTAGATTCCCAAGGCCGTCCAGTGAAGCGCTCCTTTGCAAGGGCTATGAAAGTGGATTTTGTGTCTACCGTGGTCACGTCCATGTGCGCAAGCTTCCATGGTCACGGCTGCTGATGTCACCTGAACACAGCCTCTTTCGAGCATCAAGAAAGCCAAGGGACCGGACTAGCTGCGTAACGTGGAACCGTGGTGGCCTCTCCACAGAATCCTATCATGAGTTCATGTATTGGCTCTTGCTCCAACAAGTTGATGTTTGCTGAACTCGTGGTCAGTAGTGGAACCATAAGAAGATTGTGGGTTTTTGCTTTTTCCTGCTCCAACAGGCTGGCTCACATGATGGTCTTCTTACCATCATTCGTATGCAGTTCTGCCCTTCTGATGCTGTCTGCCACGCCATCGTTCAAGCAGGCAGGCTGCCACACACCTTCGTTGCCATTTAGCTAATACCTCATCAACTGCTATCAACGCCCCCCTACCGCGTCAGAGCTCGTCAAGTGTGCGCAATCTTATATGGCCCCTCACTTAGCATGCTTTCCTCTCTTTTCGTATATCCCCCGGAGGGGCCGGAGGGGTGTGTTGGAAGCGCTGCTTTGCATTTGATCAGTGCCATCAGGTCCGAACAGCATGCGTGAACGCCAAACCTTCACACTGACAGAAACATGCAGGGTGACTTCGACCCAGGTTAGCAGGTGGCCTCCTTTTTTCACTTGATCTCGCTCAAGCTATTGACAGGTTGCTGAGATCCGACTTGTTTGAGGGCTTGATGACATGTGGCTGCCCTGAGCCCCTTGCCCTTTTGCTAGCTAATTGGCTCCGTGATCAATACTGAACCAACAGGCTTGATCTGTCAGACCAAAGCAACTTGTGGTGTTCGACAGGGTTGCCGTGATAGTCCTCTTGAATGGAATGTTTTCACGTCTGTCATTCTTTGAGCCCTGTGTGTTGCTTTTGGTATGACTTGTTGCCAGCTGATCCAAAAGCTTTGCTGACGACCCCCTCCTTCGTTGGATTTTTTTTGACTATAGCAGATGTTGACACTGCATTAACTGAGATCGGCCGGACGCTCGACGTTCTTGAGCAACGCCAGTTGCGTCCCAAGAAAACAGTCGCTCTACTTCGTCTTGTGGGCTCACAGGCAAACAAGATCACCAGTCTAGTCAAAACTAAAGAAGGCTGCGCATCAGAACTCCACGCGCCAAGGGTGGCAGTTTGCTTCCTGTTGTCACACGCGTACTTGGGTTGCAAGCTTCCGTATTACAATTTCGAAAAGATGACATTGACGCGTCGATTGCGCGTTGATCGTGCTGCCTTTCAGCGATTGCGCCTGTGGCTCGTGAAGCGCCGCTTGATCTGACAAACAGCGAGAGCCCAAGTGTGGAGGACTTGTGTCTTGAGCTCACGCCTCCACGGTCTGTCTGCCGCTGGCCTTGCTCAGGCTCAGGAGGGATTGCGTAAATAGGGTTTCGACGCAACGCTGAACTTAGGCTAATTGGTAGATCGCTTGGACATATCACGCATGAACGCGATGCCGATCTCTTTCGTAGGCTTGGTACTTGTGAGCCCCTGCAATATGTTCAGGAGCAGTGGCAACAAACATTTGACCGCCTTCATAGCAATCAAGCACTCCTCAGACACCGACGCTCTTAGAGCCGCTTGACACGGTGCGAGCCAGAGTCATGTCTGTCTTTGAACATGTGAAGGAACAGCTCCCCTTGTGGGAGCTACCATGTCCGTATTGCTCTCAGGTTTTTGAAAGCGTGTCCTTACTCAACAAAAATTTGGTTGTCACACGCAAAGTCACCAGAGCCCATCACCCCTTCAATGCTGCCACTGCCAATTCAAGTTCTATGAATGGCGAGGCCTGAGACATCGCATCTCTGCTGGCTGTCAAATGTTTGATCCAGATCTGCCACAGCAGGTACCGCCAGCTGACGGAGAAACTTTTTCGTGAACATGCCAGAGCAGACGCTTTTAATTGCTCTTATTGAGGAACCTGAGCTCGTCCAGATTTTGAGAGAGAACTGTGTGCTTTGTGGACGTTACTTTTTCATAGGGAACATGGCTTGATCTGATGACTTTAGCCAAGAACTCTGCGACTGACACCATCCTGACCAAGCCCACCTTTGTCCAAGCACTTCGATCCGCTTGCGTGCTGCGTGGGAGGCATTGCAAGAAGCCTGGAGGTATCATCCAACACCATCTTCAAGATCATGCCGCCGTTGTGCAAGAAACAAGTGATCGTAGCAGTCACTTGCAAAACCAGGCCATTGCAGCGGGGAGACCTTGCTTTTGTGGAAATCACACTGTCCGCAAAGGACACCAATGTGTGGTCTTCATGTAGATTGCAATGCTTCAAGTCGTTGCTAACAAAGATGAGGATCCCCATGAAGTTGAAGCATCCAAACCATCATCAAGTCCGGCTTCTAATGCGTGTCTTGCCGCTGGTCTCCCAGTTGCCTGTGTGATCGGCGTTTTGTTTGCTGCCGCCGCCTTACTTGTCTCGCCAGCTGTTTCGTTACGTGTCTCGCAGTACTTCTCTCCTGGCTCCTGTCCTGCTTTCCCCCTCGTCTGCTTCTGTGATCTGCGTCTCAACAAAGAGTTGGGCTTTCAGAGTCCTGCCGTGTCGTCGTGTTCAGAGCCAGAAGCAGGTCAGACGACGGGTTTATGGAGTCGCGCAGTACAATGGTGATGGATTTCGTGGCAGTCGGGCATCTGAGGGGGGTGGGTGGGAAGGGGCCAGGGCAAATGTGATCTCAAGAGAATCAAAAAAAGCTTCTGCGATCTGGTTGCGCTGTGGCGGTGGTATTTGTGGGAGTGGCTAGCGGTTGCAGCTGGTTTGGTGAAGCTGTGGTCAATCCGTGGTTGCGCTGCAAACCTCTCTGAAAAAGTGGGGCGCATACCCACTCAGATGTTGCGTTGTTGTTGTCATGGCTGTTGCCTGTTACAGAGCAGGGGGGGTTGCCTGTACCGTTTGTTTTCGCGGCAGGGAGCCTTTTGATTCGGAAATTGTTGTCAATCATGAATCATGATGTTATGTTGTTCCGTTCATTCATACCATTCTGTCGCGTGACACCTTTCTTATTCCCTTTTCTTCTCTTCTATTCTTTTCTGTTTCCTTGTGCTACTTTTGCTCCTTTTCCTCGCCTTCTGGCTCCTTTTGTCCCCGCCCATGCAAAAGCTGTACAAGATAACGCCGCAGCCTGGCTACAAATAAACGCTATGGCGCTCTATTTTCCTTGTTTTCACGTCGCTTCTCTTTTTGCGACGCAGATTAGAAAGCTTCTTCGCAGCAGGAAACACCAATCAGGCAACCAGAATTGATATTCCTGTGCCAATCCAGCGCCGTAGAGTAGTAACAACAAACGTCCGTGGCAACAGAACACGCCCCGCGGAAAGCGGCAGCCAAAACGCACCAAGATTGCCAGAGAGAAAGCCGCCCAACAGGGTGTGCGCGGGCGGCTAGGGCAAACAGGTGATTCTTGTTGTTGTTGTGGTGGCGGCGGTGGTTGTTGTTGGAACAGGAAGGGGACACGCGAAAAGGACACGCCAATAATGCAAGGCAGGCGTAACTCGCACCTTGCGGCCATCTTCAGCAATCTTGAAGGAAGGGGGGCACCCTTACAAACATGTTACGAAAAGGTTGAATCTTTGAACGACATCATGTTTTGCAAAAAATCGGAAACAGACACTGTTTTGTTGATCTTTTCGGCGCGTGCGCTTGTGCGCAAGAGCCGAATGGTATTTGTGAGGTTTTTGGCCTCTCCGTTTTACATCAAAACCCTTCTTCCCAGTGGCCCTGCGGGATTGCCCCCGGTTCGTCTACACATGGCCTTCGGCGGCGGGGTGCTGCGGACACTTTTTTGCCTGATACGGACTTGCTGCAAGTACAAACGTCGCAATTCACCAGATCGCCGGGAGCCACATTGCACTTCACAAGTCATCACATCAACTTCATCACCATGCAGCCCTTCTGCAACCCACACTTCGTCGCACACGTGCCACAAAAGGAGGCAAATTTTCAATAGTTTATATATACATTGAACTTTGGGTCTGCCGGGAATGGGATGCGGAGCAGCCTCACCTTTTCTGGAATGCAACGAAGGCAGTCATTTTGATGCACCATCTGAGCTAACGCCTTCAAAAGAAGCTTTGGTGCCACAAGGCTCACAAAGGTGGTTTTAGGCACAATGTGGTCCCTTTTGTGGTGACCCGAGAAGGGATTCTTAAAGTTTCTCTCGTTTGTGCAAAGTTCATCTCAGCGGAACCTTAGCTTTGCAGCGTGCCAAAAAACACGGATGCCGTGTTGCGTGTTGAGTGTCTTCGATTTGGCTTCGACTTTCGACATGGCAGCAGAAACTCTGCGCTCCACTCGCCTATATATAGTCATTATTGAGCTGAGTTGGTTCTTTAACGATTTTGAGGGGTGCAGGACAAGCAATCCTTGCTTGTCAATCCAGTTGCCACCCGAAAGGTCCAGTCAGTCCACTAGAAATGCTGGCGACAAGTGGGCTTCTAACAGTTTCTCCTTATGCGGTCCCTCAGGCGCGCATGCGTTGAGTTGCGGGATTCAATACTTTATTGTCACTTTGAACGGATTTGAATGGAGAGATGCAGAGACGATTTTGTGCAAGTTTGCCCGCAACTTTGGCAGGAATTTCCTTGGGATTCAATGTGCTGAATGCCTCCCGAAAAATCCAACTCAGTGACCCTACAGCTGAGGCTGGTTTCCTCCTTTTCGCGAGCAGTAGCGCTCGTGGCATGCCTGGTGGAATCATGTTGCGGGTGTCTTAAGAGCTTGGCGACCAGAAAAGGATCATACATCGGACAGTTCACCAGGTACTATGTTTGACATACTGTGGTTGAACAAGGCGACGCATTACCTTCTACAACACGATGCTTGGAAGTCAGCAGGTGGAGGCCGTGGCAGACTGCACAGTTTCATAATACTGTTTCTCTTCAAATGCATTGTAGGATTAAGTGATGTGAACATCGTTTGATTATTGTGTTAATTTTTTTCAACGTAAACATAGAAGACTCCAGGAACAGTATCTGAATTCCCGCTACCAGAGAGAGAAGAAACCACCGCCGCAGCAGCTTGCCCTGAGTCTGAATCTCGAAAGTCAGTCAGTTCTGCTTGCTGAAGAATATTGGCAACCTGGGTTTGCGCAGCAAAGCATAAGTATTCACTATCAAAACAATCAGATTGTAAGTAGTCAGGTCCTGCAATGAAGAAGTCAGATTCTCAGACACATGGCGCAGCAGAGAAGCCTCAGCTTGATACTCCCACGCCAGGTCTGCGCCATATCTTTGGATTCACGGCTCCTTTCTGTGTGAATTTGCAGACTGTTTCATCTCTAGTGGATGTCTCAGACTTCACAGACTGAATGTTCTTCTATTCCGCCTTAAGAAGGATGCCAGGACATGTTGCTGACGTGTCACGACCAATGTCATTCTCCTAAAATGGGTTGTTCCCAAGTGCTGTGAACTTTATTGGTCGGTATAGGCTGGTCAAAGTACTGCTATCCGTCTTTGCTGCAAGTGAGCTCCCTCTCCTTCCGTCGCTGTCTTGATCTAGGCTACGGACAAGTTATTATGCCAACTGTTTGGGGCGTGTTGTCCTGCAACAGTTAACGTACAAGTACAAGCATCTCAAAAGGTCCACGTCGAGTCTGGCAGCTCAAAGCCACTAACTTCGGGGTTCACCTTATATAGCCTTGAGCCAATAGCCTCGAGGAACCTGTGACCCAAGGGCACATTGCTCATGGAAATGGGAACCGTCAAAGTGCAAATCTCGATGGGCGATATAAATATGGTACACATGTACATCCACTTTCCTCCACAGCCCGGAACTTGGGAAGGTTGTAAGGCCCTACTAGCAGACAAAGCTTCTGGAACACCCGAGGTTCGAAGTCTATTGTCAACCTTGTTTGCCGCTTTTTGTTGTTTTCTCCTACTTTGTTTTGTGAATATCGTTCTTGGAAGCTGGAAGCATGCCAGCGAAACTTGCTCTCTCATTATTTCAAGGGTTGTTTTCATACCATTTTGGACCTTGCTTCTTTTGCCTCCTTTGCCTTCGCCTGACTTGAGCCATGTTAGTGTATGCAGTCATGTAGATCCGCTGCAAGGTGCAGGTGGCGATTTGGTTCATTTGCTTCGCTCCTTTGTCATCGGTCTGGAAGGTGCCTGCAAGAGTGTCGGCAACGACCTTACGCCTTTCTTGGCATATCTATTTTTTGTGCCATGACTGAAGAAAACCGAGGCGATGGGCCTTCTGGTGGGGCCCCACTCTGGCTGAGTCCTCAAAAATCATTTGAAATGGGAGAATGTATAAACGGTGAATGTGGTCTTCACGTCACAAGGTCGCCTCAGCAACAGACAGTTCTGCACGACATTGTGGAACTATTTCAGAGGCCAGGTCAATTCTCTATCTAGACCAAAGGCAATGTTGCTTGGCCGTGACACAGTTTGACCGGTGTCTTGGAGATCAGTTCTCAAAAGTGCCACCAGGTCCGAACCGCTCTTCAAGAAGTGGCAGCCACTCTGGACAGCAGAGGAGAGCTTGTGCATCGCGGACATGTTTGGCCGACTGAGATCAGATTTGCAAACGAAATCAGCCCAGAACAGTTTGCAGTAGTCATGACAGCAAAAAGAAAGAGAGGGCACCGTTGTCAGGGGTATACAATTGCAGGATTGGTTATAGTCAGTTGATCCTGCTGCGCGTTTCCTTTGACGTCCAGGCGTCAGATATTAAAAACATATATATATATATATATGCTGTATATCACGAAAGCCAGCCGGTAGGCTAGGCTGAAGTTGGGTTGGGCGAACGAAGTGAGTAAAGGGGGTGTGGGGGAGGGTGGTTGCACACGGGCAAATTTACACCAAAGCCTGGTAGGGGAGAGCGAAGAAAAGAGGCGGCCAGGAGGTAGTGAAAATGATTGTTTTTTAGTGTGTTGTGATGCAAGTGATGCAGTGGATAGCGATCAGCGTCATTAGCATCATGAGTGATCAGGAGGCAATGTAAACCGTCTTCTACCAGGGTTGGGAGTTCATGTCGATGACAGGAAAGAGGGAGAAAAGTGATTGGAACTTCTCCAGCAAAGGGAGATGCGCGTCTCTGGTGGCCATTGTTATTGTGTTCGACCAGGGGTGAAAGGGCGGTGTGTGTCTCTTAAGACACGGTGTGATCTTTGAGGGCAGGAGAGGGAACAGAATGCCGTGAGGAAGGTGAGCGGAGGAGGACGTGGTAGGAAAAGAGGGCTTGCAAGAAATCTTGGGGTTGCTTGGGGGTGCGCTTTTTTTGATGGTGAGGACGCCTGTCAACCATACGCAAAGGGCACCCCATATGGGGTGCAAGTTCATGTAATTGTAATGATGCGGTCCGTTGAGGGCAGGAGAGAGTGCAGAGGGCAAGCTTTGAATTGCTTGGAAGAGGCGTGGTAGCCAGACTCAAAAGGGCACCCCGCATGGGGTGGGAGTTCATGTGGATGAGACAGGCGTAGCGGAGGAGGACATGATAGGAAAAAAGGGATGACAAGAAACGATGTGACCCATTGAGAACACGGAGGGGCAGAATGCAGCGGGCAAGGGTGCCCTTTTTTAACGGTGAAGAGGCCTAGTGGCCAGACTCAAAAGCACGCCGCACATGAGCTTTATGTTCATGTGGATGAGACAGGCGTAGCGGAGGAGGACGTGATAGGGAAAAGAGGGATTGCAAGAAACGATGTGACCCATTCAGAACAGGGACGGAACAGAATGCAGCGGGCACCTTTGAGTTGCTTGGGGGTGCCCCTTTTTTATGGTGAAGAGGCCTGTTGACCAGACGCAAAAGGGCACCCCATATGGAGTGGGAGTTCATGTGCAGAGCGGGGGAGGATGTGAGTGAGGGATCTCGCATTCATCTCCCATGACCATATTGATATCTTTTACGGTGGCTGGCTTTCGCCCCCTCCCTTCTCAGGTATATATACATATATATATATATATATGTATGTGTTTCTGGCAGTTGTCTATCAATTTAACTTTTCCTCACGAAACAAGTTCTTAAAGGCATCAAGTCGAGACCTGCCAAAAAGACAGCTTGGGGAAGGAAAACAGTTCAGCAAGGCAGGTTTCTTTGAACGATGACAACTGCTTTACAGGAGAACACTTCTGCCAAAACAGGGGAGTTGTCAGATGGAAGAGACTTGAACGACAGAGGAAACTTATTGACAAGATGGGAAACTTGTATGACGAAGTAGGCTTTATCAAGGAGGATAAGTTCTTATGAAGGGGAAGGAAATGAGGGGAAAGGCTTTTCAAGGACACGAAGTGACCAGATATTTTTGCCCGTTTTGAACGACTTGCGTCGAATAGGAAGTTTGGGACAGCAAAGAGTTTTGGGGAACATTGTGAGACTTGGATCACCTGATCACCAGGTTAGTATCATACAGGAGGAAACTGTTGCAAGCAAAGAGTTTTAAAGAGGAGGCTGGAGGCTCTTCCATTTTGCAAACGGGGATGAAATTGCGAAGGATCAGTTGCCCAAGCAAGTATCAAGTGAAAGAATAACATTTTCATAAAGGGTAGTATTTCTTGACAAGGGATTGGCGCTATTTTTGGATCGAGCTGGGGGTTGTTGAAGTGGACACGGAATCAGATGTATCAATACCTCAGGTTCGACGAAACAAAGTAACCGGAAACGCCAAATGTTTTCCACAGTAGCCTGAAGAACCAAAGTAGATGGGATAATTGGAACGTGCTTGGAACTTGTGGAAAGCAGACTATACCTTAATACATTTCATTAGCCAAAGTGCCTTGACATTTTGGCTCAAGTCCGCGTTTCAAGTGAAAAACTTGCTCGCCTTCGCTCTCCTACCCATTTCTGTGATTGCCATGGCATCAGCCGGCAGCTCAGGAGAGTTCTTTGATTGGAAGATCCTGGATGGCGCGGAGACGGTGCGGAAGTGAACGAGGGCCTTAAACATGTTCAACAAATGTGTTCAAAGATGTGGGATGAAGGGTCCAGAGTCTTTGGGATGGAGGGTTCAATGACTTATGGACGAAAAGAGCTTCAACAAATTCCAGGACTTGGGATGAAGAGTCAAATACTTGGGATGAAGGGTTCAAATTCTTCGGGATGAAGAAGGATTGAACAACTTTGTTCCAAGGCTTGGGATGAAGGGTTCAAAGTCGTTGGGATGAGGGGTTCAAAAGACTCAGTCGCCAGTGGCACTGAAGACCGGAAGCAGTGCGATGTGGTTATGGCGCCCACTGCCTCGGCGGCGGCAGCGGCGGCCTCTACATCCTCGCCTCCCCTCCAGCAGGTCTAGGGCTACATCCCGGTGGACGAGGCGACTCCGGCACCTCCATTATGGAGACGTCCGCAGCAGCCCAGGCACCCTCAGATGTCCTGGCAGTGACGCGGAGACGGTCGTTTTTGGAATGGAGACGACGAGGGCGTTGGGAGAGGACTGGGGCACGTGCAAGATCCTGCAGCCAGGCTGACGGTGAACGATATGGAGTCGAGATCTATGTTGCCAAAACAAGTTCGAGCCCGAGAACATAGGCTTCATCAAGCACCACAACACCCGGGAGATTCTGAACCGTGGGCAAAACCCATTCCGCCTGCAGCCGCGGAGCTGCGCGCCGCTTCTGCACTTTGTCACCTACCTCTGAAAAGTTTTTCCTTTCTGTGCGACGCCCATGGACCCGCTCTCAGGATGGCCGGTGACCGATTTCTCCTTGGGTTTCACACAGGGCTAGGTTGGGTGGCGTTTCAGGGTACCATCCCAGTCCTGCTTTCTTCTCAACCTAAAAGAAATCTATCCAGCAAGCAAAAGACTGCGAGTGCGCGCTTTGCTTTTGGTTTTTGGACTTGACCTTCAAGGAAACTAGTTGAATTTCAGAATTTTTATGTTTGGGCCAATATTGCTTTGTCGCTTGGAGATATAATTTAGAGTGGTTTTGGTGGAGTTCACCGATGGACGGTGAAAAATCTTGGGACATACCAGCATCTTCTTCGGTATTCCACAACTTTTCCACTACTGGCAACCCTTCTTTTGGAACAAGAAAGGTTCCAGCGTCAAAAATAAAACTTTAATAGTGAGATGCGGGTCAAGAATCTCCGACCCTGGCTTGGCTATATAAGCAAACCATCAGCTTACAAAAAATGCAGGACCATGCAGTGCCTTCCTTGGCAGCATCATATGTGCGGCGTCTTCAGACAGTGCGACAAAATCTCCGCTGGAGCCTCTGATTTTGACAATGTTTTCAAAAGGTGCTCCCTTCCATCCCGAACTGTTGATTGTGCAAGCAACCTGCGAGCAATCGTGTTTTCCCTTGTATTCCTGGAGCCTTGAACAGAGGCAATCAAGGCGGACGTTGCAGCCTTATTCTCGCGGCTCGTAGCCGTCTGAGTCCGTTGGAGATCCACGTGCATTGAGGTTTGCTCATACCCCTTGGCATCAAGACGTTGGACATTGGCTCCCAGCCTTGTTCTTATGGGTGTCTTTAGTTGTCAGTTCAGCACTCCATAGAAGCTTTTGTCCGAGGATGATCATGCTCATTTTGGAGAAACAAGATGGACAGGCGATTCCTGCAGTCCGGCATTCTACATGACAAAGCCCTGTCAAGGTTTTTGGATTCTTCTCATTGCAGCACATGTGTGACATCATGTGTGAGTCTGTGTGACAATGTTTGGTTTGGTCTTTCCTGGCCCTGAGACCTATCGACTGACCATCATCAACTCCGGAATGCCTGGTTTAGATTGGCATGCAACCTCTTCTGCAAGCAGCTAAGTGAGAAGATGTTCAGAGTGGGGGCAGCCATAAATCCTGCGATTAGTAGATCTGTTTGGAACGTCTCTGACTTCAGGCTGAACCACCGAAGTTCAAAAGTCAGGCTGAGCCGGACTCTGCCAACTTTTGTTTCCATAATCAACAAAGACTGACTTTGAGTGTTGCTAGAATTCTGAGCCGCACTCCCAGATTGTGGCTCTTTCTTCTCCCGTAAAGGTTTAGTTGTAATCAGTGAGTCCGCGATTCCCTTCACCACAGGCAGCGTTGGCATTCGACAACATCCCCAGTTGGAAGGCTGAAGACGATGCATTTTGGGCCCGCTTCTCAGTGCATTTTTCTCCAGTTTCGGTTTGCTTTGGGGCGTCTCCAAGGCTATGCTAGTCGTCACCTCTGCGATACCACCGAGCCCGATGATGGCCAAGGACTTCAGCCATCGCATCTCAAAAACTAGAATATGCAGATGCTACGGGTGCTGTGATTGAAGAAACCGTCAAAGGCAGCATCTCATTCTAAGTCACAGGGCTCTGTTCTCTGCGAAGAGGCAATCTACAACCCCGCTTCTTTGAAAAGAAGTCAGACGTTTCCTCAAATATTGTGGTCACACTAGGGCCACTAGGGGTCCTTACTGTAATAGTGATTTGCTCACATATGCACGCTCTCCTTTGTGTGCTCTCATCTCTGCGCTCTCACGTGTGTGCTGTAATATGTGTACTCTCAGGTGCGTGCGCCCAGGTGCTGGCTCATATATGTGCTCCAGTTTGTGCTCGCTCACACCCGTGCTCTCACGTGCGTGCTCTCAGATTTGCGGGCTTGCGTTTGTGTGCTCTCATGCGTTTTCTCTAGCAAACGCGCTCTTTTGAGCGTTCTCACATGTGCGCCCGTTTATGTGTGCTCTCACGTGTGTGTTGTCATATGTGTGTTCACTGATCCGCGTGCTCCTATTTGGGGTCTCATGCGTGCTATTGTACGTGCGCCATCATGTGCTTGCTTTCATGTGTGTGCTCCTGTTTTTGCTCAGCTCTCCTTGTGTGCTCTCACATGTGTATGTGTGTGTCACCTCCCGTCTACAGGGATTCTAATTTTCAGCAGCGGAGTGCGGCATGATTGTGGAACCACACTCGACCAAGCTACCACAATCATGGGATACCCAGTCTGATCAACTCGGCGTATCTGCAGCTTTTTGAGATACTGAAGTCTTTGATGGTTCTACGTAAAAGACAACGCTGTCTAGCAAAGTGCATTCGGCTAATGCAGTAATCAAAAGTGCTGCTCACCGCGAACTCCTGAAGCTCAGCTCCACCGAGCGCATATCTCAAGAGTCTAAGTCTAAGTAATGTTCAACACTGTCTCATACATTGTTTTGAAAATCAAGGGCTAACGCACACCGTGAACTCCTGAAAGTCTAAGTAATGTTCAACGCTGTCTCGCACGTTGTTTTGGAATAAAGGGCTGATGCACTCAGCTAAGTAACATAAAGGGCCAACGCGCACCCGAGATCCAACCTGAACTTCGGAATTCTCGCTCCACGGAGCACTATTCTCAAGTGTGTGTGTTTTTGTGTGTGCGCGTAGCTCTTGGAATCAGAGGGGGCCGTTGGTCTTTTGAAAAAGGTTCGTTGCAGGGGGGCAAGGGCCAGTCTTCCCACGTTGCCCAACGAAGCTACGGGAGACTGGTGGAAGCATTCAGGGACGGCGCTTGGATCCTAAGTCCATCAACGATTGGAAATATGCACTTGCCTGTGAGTTGAATTTTGTATGCAGTTTGTGCGTTGCCTGCAACTTCCTAGCGATGGCCTCCAACCTACATTTTTTGTTTTACTCAGGCTGTGATGTGCGTTCAAACTGCTGTCGTTTCTGTATGCAACCAACCTCCTAGCGATGCCCTCCAACCAGTTGCGATGACCTCCCACCTAGATGCGAGGGCCTCCAACTTAAGAGCAATGGCCTCCAACCTACTTTTCCTGTTTTACTCAAGAACTTCACCTAGGCAACCATGTGGCGTGAGGCATTCAGTTCAGCACGCACTATCTCGTGTGTGCTATCATTTGTGTGTTCTTACATACATGCTCCCATGTGCTTGCTCCGGAATGTATGCCTTCATGTGCCTGCTCACTCGTCCCCGTGCTCTCATATGCGTCTTCTCAGGTGTTTGCTCACGAATGCGCGCTCTCGAATATGCGACCAGTGTTTTGATGTGTGTGTGTGTCGTTTTCTTCGTGTGGTCTCCTATGTGTGGTTTCAGGCGCTTGCTCACATATGTGTGCTCTTATGTGTGTGCTCCCTTATGTGTGCACTCATGTGTGTGGTCTCATTTGTTTTTGCTAGTGCCGGTGAGCTCATATGTATGCTCTTATGTGTCTACTCACATATGTCTGGGTGATCTCATATGTGCGCGCTAGAATGCGGAAGTTGGCTTGTTCACCCTAGCCTTCCTGTACTGAGCACTGTTTGGGGTCTCTTGCCTGGATAACTTTATGCGTTCCCTGTTGTATTGCAAGAATTTTTTGATTTGCAGGAACCTCTTCCAATCTATGACAAATTCATCCCATGGCTCATCGGGTGTCCCTTGGAGCTAGAGCCCTATGAATTGGTCCGAGCTGTGGGGCACGGACATGTTCCATGTGGTTGCATTTTTGGACAGGTCTTCTTGTTTTTTGTTTTGTACTGGTTGTTGTCAGCTTCATCACAAGGTTTCAACATACCAGACTCGTTCAAGGCACTACTTGGTCACAAATGTCTATGCTTTTGATGGCCAGGCGATTGTTGCTGGTTTGCACCTTGATCCTTTGCAACTCCAGCAGTGACAATTCCTACCTGCGATGATATTTGGCCTCCTTGGCCTCTTCTTTTGGACAATATATATAGTTTGTACAACTGTGCCTTCTAAATTAGACGTGGTAGAGACCAAATGCATCAGGCGCCTGAGCAGGAACAGTGTGAAGCTGGTCAGGCGAAAATGACAGTGAGTTGTAGACTTCAGAATGAGTGCAAATTGGACTCAAAGTGCAAGTTTACAACAACTTACATGGAATGGAATCGTCAAGCCCTTTTTTGGTATACTGTATATGGACCGGACGACAGCACTTAACCCCAACCATACACCCATGCAGCGCGAGGATCTTCGAACGCCCCAATATGGTGGCACTGGCGCGTAGGGGTCTCAGGTGTGTTCACAAACGGATCAAACCTCATATAGAATCGCATAGAACCTTCATCACATTGACCTTTTGAGGTGGCGTTGCATGACCTTTGCCTTGCGTTTTCTGCTAAGAGCGTGCAGCTTAAGAGCGATTGACAAACAGATTGTCGAGGCAAGACACTTGAGCGTTTCATGTCTTTGACGAGCTCTTGTGAAGTCAAGTAGTTTGTACCGAAGTGTTTACTCTAGACTGAGGATGCCGGCCTGCCGGTGGTGGGCGCAAAGTTCATGAAGTGGCACTTGCGGCGCTCCTTTTTGAAACTCGCCATCAAGGCAGAGAAAAATAGAAAGCAAAGTTGCTGTATATTGCAAGCCAAAAGGTTGTGTGTTTTGCATTGTCAAAAGCGTTTGCGGTTGCTCGCTTTGTGTTATCAAGTGCATAGGACCTTGCCTCCGCCAGCGCACTCTCCACTTCTGAGCGCACGATATTGAGGCCCCAGCAATGCAGAGTGAACGTTTGGTTTGTATTTTTGCATCGTTTTTGCACGATCGGCTATTTTCTTGCAATTGGTTACCGCATTTTTGCTCACCAAAATGTCCCACCACGACATTCTGGCTCAAGAGAGAGACAGTGACGATTCACTGCTCAAGATTTGTAAACTGCGATCCCACAGTGCCAAGTCCAGACATGGCTGCCTTGAATGAGGAGGCGGATCCGCTCAGCTCCGCACACGCCGGCTTCCACCCTCGAGGCCTTTCAGAGCTTGGATTTGGGAGCACAGCTTGGTGACCTGGCGGCCCGCATGCAGCTGGTGGATTTGAAGTTCGGCTCCCTGCGGCTGCCTGCGCCTTCTCCTACTGGTGCCTCTGGCCCAGGGTGGCCCCTGTCAAGACTCCGCCGGCTGATGTGCTGATGGACCAAGTCGCGGATCCGCCTGCGGATGCTTTGATGGCTTCAGCTGCCAGACAGTGAAGTCCAGAATGTAGGGAGCAACCTCCTGCGCAAGGTCAACCTGATTGACTTCAAGCAGGCCATGCGATGTCGCTGGCTTGAAGGCCAGGAGAAGGGCACCACCCTCGACTCCCTCAACAAAGCTTATAGGGCACGGTGGAAGAGGCCGACCCAGGATCCCGCTCTCATGACCAAATGGGCCCTGCAACCTATTGATACTTCCGTTTGGCTAGATGACCCGCGCCAGAAGCTGGAGCGCGGCTTGATGTGTGCCTCATGCCCTGAGCTGGCACGAGGTGCCACATCCCAAGGAGATGGTGGATCGCTACCTTTCGCTACCTTCCTCCCCAGCTGCTCACCGAGATGCCCGATCTGAAGGTGACTTCCCTGATGGAGAAGTCTGGCTCCTCCGCAATGGATGAGCTGGGCGAAGAGGTGCAGAAGCTTGCCAAGCTGCTGGCCGAGAAGTCCTCCACGTGCACTCCACTTCTGGGAACCCAAACGGACCGAGGCTATGCAGAGGTTGCAAGGCTTCAGGACATGACCTGAAAAGGTTCACGCCAAGGCCTCCACCTTTAAGTGGGGCGCAGGCGTGTGCGTGTACGATGTATAGCCTATTGCCCGTCGCAAACATAGCTGCCAGCTTGCGTGGATCCCGGGGTAGTGTAATGTGGTGTGGTGTAGTCTACGGCATTCTTGTATCATGGATGTACGTGTGACTATGCGTGTAATAAGTGTTCATGTAACGTTATGTATGTATGTATGTCTGTCTGTCTGTCTGTCTCTTTGTGTGTGTCAAGCCCTGTTTCTAAGGGTCCTCCCCTCCGTTTTTTGGTTATATGTTCTCAAGCAGGGGGCGACAGGGTCCCTGCATAGCTGTCGCCAATGAGGCTCTATGCAGCTGACCAGGATGCAGGGACTGATCATCCCTGTGTACCTGCTTCAACTTTTGAGCAAGCTGTCCAATTTGATCGGTTTGTTTCCATGGTCCTTGAATGATATACCCCAAAACCCTTTTCCACCGCAGACGTGCAGCCGCGCTGATCGCTCGACGCAGCTGTTTTCGTGAATTGCAGGTGTACATAAACCTTGTGTTAAAACATCTTCAAATCTTTGGACCTTTCGCCTTGCCGTTCCATCGCCTTCCTTTCACCTGGGAACTGAGTTAACTGAAAACCAATGTCAGAGTGTAACCCTGGAATCGCAGGGAACCTTTGGGTTTGGAGCAGCATTTTCCGTCCACCGAAGAGGGTGCCAGTAGGTGCTGATGCAGTGGGGGACGCCCCACTGTGTACCTGCTCTGCTATTTATTTAGGAAAACAGGAGGAAATGGTACTCGACACACTTGTGTGTCGGTGCCTTTCCTTCTGTTTTCCTCTAGTCTACTCTATAGGTTTGCAGGTAGGCCCCCCTACCTTGTAACAAGGATCTTTAACCCGAACTTTGGCCCCTACCCACTAGATTGCCCCCCAACCTTGGCTGTCTTGTGTTTCTTGTAACCTGGTAGCACTGGCCTCCAACTTGGTACCGTGGCCTCCAACCCACTAGCAACGACCTCCAACTTGGCTGTCTTGTGTTTCTTGTGCTTCTTGTGTTTCTTGTAAGCTGGTAGCACTGGCCTCCAACTTGGTACCCTGGCCTCCAACCCACTAGCGACGACCTCCAACTTTGCTTCTTGCTGTCACTTTGTTTTGCTTTGGTTTGCTTGTGTCTACTACCTACCACCTACTAGCGACGGCCTCCAACCTTAGGAGTTGGGCCCCAACGGCCTTGCGAAGGCCTCCAACAAGAAAGCGATGGCCTGTATATAACCATCTACTTGTCATTTCTGTTGTGCTTGTGCCTATGGTCCACCACCTACTAGCGACAGCCTCAAACCTTAGGTCTTGACCCCCAATGGCCTTGCGCTGGCCTCTAACCAAAAAGCGATGGCCTTTAACCTACTAGTTGCTCTGGCGCCTCAGGCCTTTTTAAACTTAGGCTGGCGTGTGGCACCGCTTTCAGTTCAGTGCGCAAAATCATAAGTGTGTCTGGCTTAATGCCAGCCTGGGATGAGCCCGCAGAGTGCCTCCCGTTGACCCGTCGAACGGGGGTTTGTCTTTGTTTCCCTTGCTTTGGAAACGCACGTGCCCATAGCGGGCGGAGTAGGCTTATGCCAAAGTTGTTTGCCAAGACTTGATGAATTCTTGAATTCCAAGCTGGCTCATGCCTGTACGTGACCGCAGCGGTCTGAGCAGGGGTGGTTCAAGTGAAAACAAGAATGCAGTGACAGACGCTACACAGAGGACACGCATACAAGACAGAAAATCGGTTGGAAGCAAAGGCGGAAGACAAGGCCTTCGCGCCGGCAACGGACGACCAAAATCCTCCACCGGCAGGACGGCAAAGACCTGCAGAGTCTGAGTCTTCTACCACGTCACCAAATGGTGGTGGCCCAGGCCACACAACCAATCGCGGATTTGCCCACGCCTCACAAGCGTTGGCTCCTGACACTGCTACACAGGTCCTGTCTGTATGTCTGTCAGTCTGTCTGTCTGCCTGTCTGTGTCATGTTGCGTTGTGCTACGTTGTTTCGTGTTGTGTCACGTTGTGAATTTTGCAGGTGATATGCGGTATGTTTGGTATGGTTTGGTATTCTACGGTATGGAATGTATGCGTGCGTGTTCTGGCATGGTTCATCGTGGAACGCATGCATCGCACGCGTGCAGGTCTGATGGTTGACGACTTGCTTGATTTCATTCTTCAAAGAATTGGACAACCCAGTTTCACATTGTGAGGATTGCAGCGAAACAGTTTGCCCTGGGAGCTGTGAAGGTGCTCAATTTGAATGCGTTGCTGAGTCAGGGAGGGAGAGAGAGAGAGAGAGAGAGCGAGAGAGAGAGAGAGAGAGTGAGAGAGAGAGAGAGAGAAAAGAAAGAGAGAGAGAGAGAGAGAGAAAAGAAAGAAAGAGAGAGAGAGAGAGAGAGAGAAAAGAAAGAAAGAGAGAGAGAGAGAGAGAAAGAAAAGAAAGAAAGAAAGAAAGAAAGAAAGAAAGAAAGAAAAAAACAAAAGAAAGAAAGAAAGGAAGGAAGGAAGGAATAAAGGAATAAAGAAAGACAGAAAGACAGACAGAAAAAATGAAACATGAAAGACAAAACAAAAAGTGAACGAAAAACACAAAAGAAAAACGCAAAAATAACGAACACACAAAAAACAACGAACACAAAATAAAGAAAAACAACAAAAAGAAAACACAGAAAACACAAACGATCGAAATAAACAAACAAAAACACACATAAAACAATAAAGAAAACAATTAATACAACATACAAAAAACAGAAAACACAAGAACAAACACAAAAGAAAGCAAACAAACACACAACAAAATAACGAACAAAAAACACGGGAGAAACAAAAAGAACACCAAAAGCAGAGAGCGAGAGAGAGAGAGAGAGAGAGAGAAAACAAGAGGATACCTGATTTTTCCTTTTGCACTGAGAGTTGTTCAATGAATATGTTGTCCCTTAGTTCTTCTTTGCAACCCACTGCGTAGCCAAGTTTCCAGTCCTCGGCAATCAAACCTTGTTTTGTTCTAGGCTTGCCTTCCACTTTTCGGTATATATATATATGTACATATATATATAAGAAGCAGCTTCAGAAAACATCCTGTGGCTTCGGCAGAATGGTGAGGTGAGCAATCGGCTGGCCTACGATGCTCCAGATCTGGTTGGTGCAGCGGAAAGACTTTTGTGTGGGTTGACTCAGACAAACATTGCTGAACGGCTTGATTTGACACTTATACTTCAAATGGGCAACTTTGTTCTTTTGCTGTTGAGATGCTTTTAGCTACTCCACAACTCCTTGCCTTACCTTTTTGGTTCCCAGAATCCAGGTGATGCTCGAGCTGTTGTGTCGGAGTTGGAGGCTGCCGTGAATGCTGCCTACTTATATATCTGAACCTGAACAAAATTGTCAAGTTTTTGTCGCATTTAGAGCACGCTGAGGCCAAACCAGGTGCACATCATGTTTGGAACGATCCTTCCGCAGTGAACTTACTGAACAATTTCTAATTTGTTTCTTGCCACCTGGATGTAGAGTCATCAGGTTTTGCCAGTTCTGGATTTACAGAGTGGAGCAGAGGATGATTGGAACTTGACGCGAGTTTGATTTAACTTTAATGCATATGTATAGAGAGGATATTTGCGGGAGGAAAAGACATGAAGAGAGATCATGTCATGACTGAAGGAGCAGCAGCCAGAGGCCTGGGGGCTGCACCCTTTCTTTGAGCGGCTTTTGCGGACAGACGTCAGCCCTGGAGCTGCAACTGGAGTGCCTGGAACCTCAGCTAGGTCTTGGATGAGGTTCTCACCGCCTCACGAAAGGCCAAGACTATAGATCGCCTGGTTGCAGTCCCCCAACGTGGGAGTGAGTGATCCTGTGAAAACGGTTTATCATAGCGAGAGGCCCCAAGTTTCCCTAAGAATCTGGGAGCCAAATAATTAGCGCGAGCGCTTCTTCAAGGAAGCTCCCCCCAGCTGTCTAGGCCCAAAGCCTTTCAGCTGACGCCCGCTCGCGAGGGCCGTGGCTTCGCTGCTCGCTCCGCTGCGAGGGTGAAGCGTCCACAGACTGGACACTCCCCTGTGTCCAGATCGCTTTGGCCATGGCGGATTCCATGAGGAAAGATGGTCCACAAGCAGTTGATGCGTTAGTGCACTGGGCCACTCTGGGCTTGTCATCGACTTTGACTGAGTCGGTGCGTGCCTCGTTGATGACCATAGCTATGACTGGAGAGTGTAGAGAAATGGATACAGAATGAGTGTTCTTTGGAGAAGTCATGGTAGTACATGCTGGACCACCTTTCACTGTACGCCTACGACGGACTTCAATGCTGATGACCGACAAAGAGTCCTTCGGTGGTTCCTGGGCAGACCTGGACCTTGTTTGCCCTGTGGTTTACTCTCGAGTTGATTTCTCTCCTGGAATGTGCATTGGGATTCTTTGCAAGCCTGCGGACCGTCAGATTGCCGGGAAGATCATGGCAGGTGAGTTAGTGCCAGTATGGAACGTCTCCTACTTTGACAAGGACCTTGCTTGGAATGTCATGCACTTGTTCGCTGGGGCGTATGAGGGATGGCTCAGGGCTATGTGGTGGCTGCAGCAGGCCAATCTTGGCCACTCATTCGCAACTCACACGTCGATTGATGGGTGCCCTACAGTGATGAAGATGACCCTCTCTCCGCCGTGTCCAAGTTGGAGCAGAGGTGGGAAGCACTCTGGGTTGGCTACTGACGAAGGTTTCTGTTTTCTGGATGCGATTGAACATGTGAGTCGGGTCAGGCCAGTTCTTGCCCTGTTTGAATGTTCTGATGGACTTGAAGCACATCATCATTGGAGGGTTATCTCTGCCGCCATGCAGCTGGCGGGATACCGGAAAGTATGGTCGCAAGATGTGGCGATTCACCAACTCACATGCAATCATCGAACCAGATGGTTGGCGATTTGGGCCAGGATGGATGTCCCTGCATGCAGATTATTTGCTCTATCAACCGTCGTTTGAACTGGAATGATTCAAAGCATCTTCATGCGCTTCCAAGCTCCTTGGCAGAAGATTTAGTCCTGCAGCCCTCTCAAATGAAGGTGTACGGGGAGCGGAACCTGCTGCCTCCAGCCAAGAGGGCACGGGTTGACGAAGGTGCCTCCGTTCAACAGGTTCTTGAGCAAGGGCTCGCTCAGCGCGGTGACTACTTACCAACACTGTGTGCGTCCTACACGGCGCAACATCTTCTGCAGCGAGAGCATTTGGAGTCCAAGGGCATTTGTGCCACTTTGGTGCAGCGGAATGACAGGTAATGCTTTGTGGACCCACTCGTCTTTGTCTCCTTGTTTGGAACAACTGATTCGATTGCTCTACCAACAGTACTCAGGACTGCATTCCACCAAATTGGCAATGCCATCTCACAAAAACATGCGTTGGTTGCTTTGCTCTTTGCTGTTGAAAGTATTGCGGGTGACCCCGTCCAGAAGCTGGCACTGGTGCAACAGTGCTGGGAAGAACGTCTTACCTCAGACAAAGCAATGATCCGTGTTTGCGATGACATGTATGTTCTCCAGCCTCTCGCTGACTTTGTAGCCAAGGCCATTCCTAGCATTGCAACTTGGCAACCATGGTTGGTGGGTAGAAACTTGATCAGGTTCTGTGAGGATGCATTCCTCTCAACGTTTCGGATTCTCTGTGTGCTACGTCACAGCTGTTGTCGAGCCTGGACCTGACAGATCATCATGCTCACCTTCTCCAACTCAGTGTGGATGGTAGAACATTTCCAAGTGACGTGTCTTGGGATGACCTCCCAGATGGAGATATCTTGCTGAAGATTGGATCATTCAATCTTTGTACACTTCAAGTGATCCGCGCAGACATGCGAACCCATGAGGATGACCCTATTGTCTCCCCTACGCAGCCATGGAATTGTGAAGAGGTTGATCCTGAATTTGGCTACCTTCAGGATGCCCATCGAGCTGGATTTTTCCATGTCGCAGAATATGTGTGCCAGGATGAGGAGCCTCGACATACTGCTAAGGTCCTCCTTATTATTCAGCAGGATGGCACTTCGGAGTGGATCAGAAACGCGAACTTAGATCGTTTGGGGAGTATTCCGACCTTCCAACACCAGGACAACTCTATGCACTTCTTCAAGGTCAACAGAGATGCATGTCAAAGCCTCCTTGGCGTCAATGTGGTGACGGCCATACAGGGATCATATGACCCGGTCAACCCTAACAAGTGGATCCTCCTTGCTGGTGGTCAAGAACTGAGATGGTGCAAAGTATGTCAAGTTCCCAGGTCGGTCACGCCACGGCAGTGCAATGATTTGCCTGAACAGCAATGCCATGTCACCATGAGGAACCTGGTAGAGTGCAGAGATGATCAGCCTTTGATGCTCATCAATGGTGATGTTTTGTGGAGTGACACCAGGGTTCAAGATGTGGTGCCCATTGCCTTCGGTGGTATGGATCGCCTCTTGGGACACCCCAGCTGTAACATCCACAATGATGAGATCACTGCGCGACTACTCCAATTCAACCTGGAACCTGGTGCATTAGCTGTTGATGAAGTGACTTTCCATTTTGACATCTTGCAGGTGCTGATGCCTTCAATTTGTTGGTGCCCTCCGGGGCATTGGGCAAACAATGAATCGCAGTTTCGGCTCCCGGATGCGCCAGCTGATCTCCAGAGATGCTATCAGCACTTCGTAGTTCCGATTTTGGTGGTATTTGATTGGATCTTCGTTGAAGTCAGGTTCTTTGAGGGACAATGGAGGGTCCTTTACCACTCGCCAGAGCAATTGACCATTCGGCAAACAAATGCTGTCCTGGTTGCACCAAACGCCTATCGCTGGATCCGTACTGCAGAGGACAATGAACTTGCACCATGGCGCACCTTGCGCACCTTTTATGCAAGGGCAGGTGCTCCGTTGCTTCCGGAGTCACACAGAAGTACGCAGCGATTGCAAAGATCTCAATAATATACCTCACACGTGATGCAAGTAGTGGACCAAGCTGACTTGGTGTGGCGGGAGACCCAGGCAGGTGAGAGGATGGTACAATTTGCCCGTGCCTGTCGAAGTGCCTTTCTGATTGCAATCACGGAATCTCCTAGCAGAGCAGCCGACCTCCTCATCCGAGCAACAGGTCGACCACTGCCAGTGTACGATATACATGAGATCTTTTTTGTGGCTGATGAATGGCTGGAAATGAGGCTCAATATCTACCGCACCCACCCAGGGTGGGCAACGAGTGATGAGATCGAATTTGCCATGGCACTCTTCCTCCCAGATTCAGTTTGTCCACCAGTCCTGCGCCACGACCTTTCGTTAATTGCTGCAGGGATCAAGATTCCGTGTCATGATGTCCAGCGCTTTGTGGCACTACGAGAAGGACATTGGATTGGGATTGAAGTTGTCTGCAACGCTCAAGAACATACGCGCAGAGCGGTCTTCCTCATGCAGGTCCCACCCAGGGATCAGCAGTTCTGGCACGACTTTGCTATTGACCACATCATACCGTTTGGCTTCAGGCCTATTATCATCATTGACACCAACCGTACTAGGCCTGGTATGTGTGGATGGGAGCTTCTCCACAGATGGATTGTTGCTGACACTCGTCTCATGTGCCCAACCCTAAGAGGCACATCATTGATACCATCATTGAAGATTCGGAAATTGCATGGAGGCAAGCGGGAGCCCCGCCAATGCTGTGCACCTTTGCTGAACAAGTTCGACAGCTCTTTCTCCTTGGTGGGGTTCATCTCCGTCAGCCATGCTCCGCGGTCTCTCTTGGAGGCATGGAAGGGCAAGCAAGCAAAGATTCGCCAATGCAAGCAGCAGATCCATGGCAGTTCGATGATCCGTGGAAAAGCTAGAAAAAGCAGGTCAAGCAGAGCAAGTGGGAGGACCTGCAACTGCAGGCAGATCACCCTTTCGTTTCTAAGGACAAAACGCCTCTACCATTTGTGCAGAAACAGCAACTTTCGACCAATCGAGGGGGAATTGCTTTCGTCTCGAAGGGCAATTTGCAACGAGCACGTGAAATCACCCCAGAGGAAGCATGTGCCTTGCTACTGCCGCTTATCGATCCCACTGGCTGGCCAAGTTGCCCAACCTTTCGGGACCGTTCGATTGTGTCTGATCATGCGCTGAATCAAGAATACAAGAGACAGGTCCACTTACTGGTTGTCACTCCAGAGGTCAACTTTGCTCTGCCAACACCTTCAATCACCTTGACTCTTGCTGCTGTTTGTGAGATTGTCCTGGTGGTGTGACGCTCGTCTCACCACCAAAGATGTTTTCCAGGCCTTCTACGACAACCCATTGGCAAAGTTCAAGGCTCAAGTGAAAGAAGATTGCTCCGATCCGATTTGGGGTCATGCTGCCATATACGGTTATCGTGCAGTTCAAGAGCAATCCAAGGAGAAGCGTGACCTTGTCCACCAATGCCTGTTGAAGGTACAGCAAAAGCATCGTGTTCCTTTGCTCTCTGCAAGTGGTCATGGGGATCTGGTCGTCCGAGATTTTGTTGCAAAAGGTGAGCAGGTCCAAGATGTCTCAACCATCCCACGATTTTGGCCGATTGACCGTGCCAACAAAGCGAATCTGATCAAAGCTGCCTCAACCATTGCAGGATATGGTGGCGTTGCCATCACCAAGCGTGGGCTTGCCCCGCGGTTTGCCACAGATCATGACCTACTCCTCCCACAGGATGACAGAATCTGTGCGATCAACAAGGCAATGGTGCCCAAAGTGAACATGGACAGTCTGGGTTGGCCTTCTGAGAT